GAAGATGGAAGGAATACACAGTCACTGTACCAAAAAGAATTTATTGACGTTCAACCATTTCAGGGGATAGCATACGATCAAGAACTGATGATACTGAAGGAAGAAGTGCAAGCTGCACTGAAGGCACTGGTGAAAAACAAGGCTCCAGGAATTGACAAAATACCAATCGAGGTGTTTTAACAAAGGGATGCAGTGCTGGAATTGCTCACTTGCCTATGCCAAAAAATTTGGAAGACAGCTACCTGGCCAACCGACTGGAAGAGATCCATATTTATGCGTATTCCAAAGAAAGGTGATCCAACTGAATGTGGAAGTTATTAAACAATATCATTAATATCACACACAAGTAAAATTTTGCTGACGATTTTGCGACTGCAGCAGTACATCAACAGGGAACTGCCAGAAATTCAGTCTGAATTCAGAAGAGGATGTGGAACCACAGATATCATTGCTGGTGTCAGATGTATCCTTACTGAAAGTAGAGAATACCAGAAAGATGTTTGTCTGTGTTTTATTGACTATGCAAAGGCATTTGACTGTGTGCATCATAACAAGCTATGGATAATATTGTGAAAAATGAGAATTCCAGAACACTTAATTGTGCCCATGAAGAACCTGTACATAGAACAAGAGTCAATTGTTTGAACAGAAAAGGGGACACTGGGTGGTTTAAAGTCAGGAAATGTGTGCATCAGAGTTGTATCCCTTCACCATACCTATTCAATCTGTATGCTGAGCAAATAATCCTAGAAGTAGACTATATGAACAAGAATGGGGCATCAGGATTGGAGGAAGATTCATTAACAACCTGTGTTATGTAGTTGACACAACCTTGCTTCCTGAAAGTGAAGAGGACTTGAAGCACTTACTGATGATGATCAAAGACTACAGCCTTCAGTATGGATTACAACTCAGCATAAAAAAAACAAAAATCCTCACAACTGGACCAATAAGCGACTTTATGATAAATGAAGAAAAGATTGAAGTTGTCAAGGATTTCGTTTTATTTGGATCCACAATCAACATCCATGAAAGCAACAGTCAAGAAATCAAATGACACATTGCATTGGGCAAATCTACTGCAAAAGACTTCTTTAAACTGTTAAAAAGCAAAGCTGTCACTTTAAGGACTAACGTGCACCTGACCTAAGCCATGGTGTTTTCAATCACCTCATATGCAAGCAAAAGGTGGACAATGAATACGGAAAACCGAAGAACTGATATCTTTGAATTATGGTGTTGTCAAAGACTATTGACTGTAACGTAAACTGCCAAAAGAAGGAATAAATCTGTCTTGGAAGAAGTACAGCCAGAATGCTCCTTAGAAGCGAGGATGGTGAGACTTTGTCTCATATACTTTGCACATGTTAACAGTCCCTGAAGAAAGACATTATGTTTGGTAAAGCAGAGGGTTAGCAAAAGAATGAAGACCCTCAAGGAGACAGATTGACACAGTGTCTGCAACAGTGGGCTCAAGCATAACAGTGATCATGAGGATAGCGCAGGATCGAGTGCTGTGTTGTTCTGTCATACATAGGGTGGCTGAGTGGGAACCAGTTGGACGGCACCTAGCAATAACAACAAGTGAATTTTTTGGTTATGCCTTGTTTTTTCACTAATGGAATGGAACCTGAATCACTGTTTATTGGTAGTTTTTTTTATTATTTGGACAAATAGAGTGCAATTGCAAGCAGGACTCATCAGTCCCATATTCCATGAAGCACATCACACACACAGGACACATCAGTCCCATGGAACATTGCATTTCCTGGTTATACATGAGCCATAAAATATCTTACTCAACTTTCCAAAAATACACATAAAATACTATACAAACTTGCACTTGCTGCACAGACTTGTTATCAGTTTGATTAACAGTGAGCCATATGCGTATAATTTTCTATGAAGCACATCACACTCATGGGACATATTGGTTCCATGGCCCAGGAAGCGCATCACAAAATGTTTTTGCCCAAAAAATAACCCATTTACTTGAATATTTCTGAATACCAGTAACCATACCTTCCCAATAACACCAAGGAAATAGTAAACATACTTGCAAGCCTTATCTCATTGTACAGAAGACAAAAGACACAAAAGTTTCACACAATCACTCCTCTGGGAAGTATCCCCTCATATGAATGGCTCTCAACACTCAAATGTAACACACACCAACTTCCTTGTTCTTTAGACAGTTGTACCCGTATCTGCCATGACGCCAGAACATACTAAAGTGGCTTAAATGACTGCCAGTAAGTCTCCAGGGGAGGAAAAATATAACAGGGACATATATATCCCTTGGTCCATGAAAGGGTTATTTAAACTCTGAAGTCAAGCTGTTAACCAGTTGCCTCTGAAGAAAAGGACTAGAAGGGGAAGGGAAAGGCAGGAAATTGGTTTGGAAGATGGATTATTGAGATACTGCGATTTGTCCCGAGTGACTCCTAGGTTTCCCATTTAGTATCTTGAAGGATGGTGCTGAGTAGTTAGGAAGTAAGTACACTGTCCAATCAATGAAATTGCTCCACCACAAAACATAGAGATTTTCAGATGCATCAAACAATACAGATCAGTTTAAAATTATATTAATATACATTATCAATAATTATAAACCCTGTACTTATTTGTATCATTTAGAACCATAAAATGGTCAAGAGCGAAGATTCAGACTTTAATAATGTAACCCAGTGCTATTGAAACGATTCCGTCTCATAGCTACCCCATAAGGTTTCCAAGGCTGTAAATCCCCATGGGAGCAGACTGCCACATCCTTCTCCCATGAAACCGTGGTAGTTTCGAACCACTGAACTTTCTGCTAGCAGTCAGGTGCTTTAACCACTGCACCACCAGGGCTCCTTCAATAATGTAACAACAATTAAAAATCTGAAATAAAAATCTATCTTGGGAAACAAAATCCACAAAAAATCAAGTTGTTAGAATATAATTTGACAAAAGAACAATTACATAATAACTTCCAGTTTTGAGGGGGAATTTTATAATTAATTATAAATATAAATTAATGAAAATACATTACAGTCTATAATTTTTCTCACATTTTTAAGCACAATGCTACAGCTTTTCTAATTTCTAAACAACAAAGCTAAGCAGAATATTGGTGTTATTTCCATTTTCTTTTACTCTAGATTTTTTTCCCTTTAGCATCCAAAAAATAATATTCAGAATTATTCAAAGATAAAAAGACCACTCTAATAAACTCAGCTATCACTATAATTTTTTTTCCTCAAGTAGGTAAAATTTTCAAGTTGGGTAAGACTCTAGAGACACTAACAGTAGTGTTTTGTTAGGCAAGTGAGTTAGTGCTATTCAAAGACCTAATAATCACCTTTCCCCAGATTATCTTTGAGGCTTTTGGGATCTTTGATGTTTCTGTCTTTTTTGAAGGGGAAGGCTGCTGCTGGACAGAGATATGCAGATTCGGTATGCTTGCAGGACTCAAACCACACTCAAGGGGAGCTGAACAAGACAGCTTCTTTTAAAAGTGGTTTGTGGTTTTCGATGAGATTTTAAGAGACATCCACAGTATTGATTAAGGCAAAAGTATAGATATGCAGAATATCACAGTTTTGGTGTAGAAGTCATGCAAAAAAAAAAAAAAGAGAGAGAGAGAGAAACTATTTAACTTTAGAGACAATTGGCAGTTAGAGGACAGTTCCACAAATTTAAAGCAAAAATATACACACGCCTGCATGCACACATACATCATTGCTCAGTCACTCCAGACCTGAAGGCAGAAGGAATTAAAACTGAAGTATTTAATGAACTTCATGTTTCACCCAGTGGTATGTTTATCACATTGGGTGAAGGTAGCTTATTATCTTTTTCATTTCACAGATATTAAAGGTAAACTTAAAGTCCATTAAGCACAATATGGTCATATTATATGGATCACAATAGCAATAATATTCATACTTACACTTTTCTATGTGTTCTTAGCTTTACCTCTTAGTTAAAAATTATATATTTCTGCAATTTATTCTTGGAAAAGTATCAATTTGTTTACCCTCTTGAAATACTTTTTTTAATATTATTTTATGTGATTAAATATTTAATCATACGAAAATTGTACTAAATTCATTAGTAATGACACCTATTGGTCAGAAGTAACTATCAAATAGTAAGTGCTTTTTTTTTTAACCTGTATAAAATAGTGGGTTAATTTATTAATAAATTAGAATCATCTTTCAAGTTTAATATTTATTGTGTCATGAGTAATAGTTGAAATGCATAATAAATATTGCCAAAGAATCCAGTTCATTTAGTTTAGATATGCTTGTAAGCTTTATCACAATAATAAAATGGCACTTCTTTTCTATCTCTTAACACTTGTTATATGCTACATTCTTTATATGAATCACATGAACTGTGATATGATAAATATATATTTTTTTAGATATTAAAGATTTAGCATTTATTGTTTTTCATACTATGACTTCATGGTCATAGTACTGCAACGTATAAAGACAAGTGAGTGACATACACAAATGTGTGAATAAATGGAAAAACATATCATTTCCCTGAGGGAGTTGACCAAATACAAGATTAACAGGTTTCACAAGATTCCACTCAAAATTCAAAATGATTTTATTTTAGATGAAATTATTCTAAAGTTGATGTAAAAAATAGATAAGAATAATACAGACATTTCTGAAAAAGAAGACTAATTCAAAGAGACCTCCTTAACAGTTATTAAAACATATTTTTAAGGCTCCAAATATTAAAATAGCCATGTTTTTTCACTAAAATCTACAGATAGAGGACTGGACTAGAACAGCCTTCAATCAGATTTTACATGTATGTATGCAAAAATTTAATCTGTAACAAAAGAAAGATCAGAAACCAATAGGAAGAGATGGATCATTTAACAAATTATGTTGGAAAAAATGGCTATTTGTCAAAAAATTTGATATAGATTTTCAACAAAATTATTTCCAGATAGATAGCAGGGTAAAAATTAAACTATAAGCAACTAGACTATGTACTTATTTCAGCAGCAAATATACTAAAATGGAAACAATCCAAGGAAGATTGGCGTGGTCCCCGAGGAAGGATGATATGCAAATATTTTAATGATATACTTTTCTTTGCAATAAATAATTTCTAAATGCAACAAATAATTAATTTTATTCATTAGGTCTGGATAAATGAATGAAAAGAACTCTTCATCAGTGGTGAAACTCCTATTAAAGAGAAAATTTTTTTAAAAAATTTCTATTCCATTCCAAGGCATAAATAAATATACTTCATTTACTGTGTTTAGGTTTAAAATGCCAACTGTTGCAAAATACACTGCATGGAATTTACATGGAAGTCTATAAAGAAGTGCAGTGATCTGTAGGCTATTCATAGGTAGACAGAGAGAGAGAGACACCATCCAGTCAACTCCGACTCATGGCAGCCTTATGTGCAACAGAATAAAATATTGCCTTGTCCTGGGTCATCCTCAGGAGCAGCATCATGTTGAAGTTCATCATTGTGGCTATTGTGCCAATCCATTTCACCAAAAGTCTCCCTCATCTTTGCTGGTCCTTTATTTCATCAAACATGATATCCTTTTCCTGATGACATGTCCAAAGCAAGCAAAATGGACAATGTTCTGTTGTGATCTATAAGATTTTCATTGGCTAATTTTCAGAAGTAGATCACCTGCTTCAAATGCCCTGCTGGAATTTGAGATATCAGTGGCATAGCTTCCAGTATCACAGCAACACACAAGCCACCACAGTATGACAAAATGACAGCTGGGTGGTGGATGCTATTCTTAGTTTTTCCATACCATCAAATTCACTTATTTACTGTTCACCTTGTTGTGTTTGCTGACTAAGGATACATGAGGACTCAAGTGTGTAAAAAGATGCCTAATTAATCAGGTGTCCACATGTGGCCTTAATCCACAGCTTACAAGTCTGAAATTTAGAATGATACGTAGTATGTTTATACGTACTTAGATATATCTATATGTGTAAGGTCCTTGGGCATTGCAAATTGTTAAACGCTCTACAACTAGCTGAAAGATTGGCGGTCGATGACTAGCCCAGAGACACCTTGAAACACAGGCCTGGTGATTTGCTTCTGAAAGGTCAGAGCCTTGAAAACTCCATGATAGTAGTTCTACTCTGTACACATGGGGTCGCCATGAGTCAGCAGCAACTTGACGACAACTAACAACAATATATGTGTGTGTGTGTATGTGTATAGTTGAGTCTTTTTTTTATTATTTGTTTTGTTTGTGTTGATTTGTTTAAAGGCGTCTCCGGTGCGACTTGCATGAAACAAATATGTCCATCTAATGTATGTCATTTCACCTGCCTTTTTTATTACATTTGCAAGGCTAAATAGAGTTACATCAACTGTTTCTGTGTTTGTTCCCAAACATTGTGACTATATATCTTTCATCCCTCATCTATTTGCTGCAGCTATATTAAGCAATTTCCTTAAAATCAAATCCAAAAGACATTTTTGGGGGCTGATAAGAAGAATAGTAGAGAAGTGGTGAATTAAGAAAAATCAAGCAGAGGGTTTTTATGGAATGGAAGGTTAAAATGTTATACCTGACATCATACCCATTCTAGCATTATACCCATTCTCCCCCTATCTCATTCAGTAAGATGTCTTGTCCCTTCAAATTCCATCTTCTTAGTGAGGATTAATCACAAAATTTGCTATTAAGCCTCACAGAAAACATTCCTTGTTTCAACCTCTGTCTCACATGTGTTTTTTCAGAATATTTTTTGTAGCATATCCAGTCAGAAAGGTTGGAAAAGTGTATTAGAAAATGGAGAATTTGGATTTTGATAATTTGGACACAAGAATATTTACTGAAATAGTTAAGTAGCACCCACCCAATCTACAAATCAACCTCTACCCATACCTATGAGGATTCTTCAGTATTTTTATGGTTATTGTGGAGTACAGAGTCAACACTAGAGGATGGGGTTTTATGTATAAGGGGCCTTTGTGGTACAACTTTATACACTTGTATATGAATAACAAAAATGTATAAAAACAGCAGACTTCTGATTTAAATACTTAGTTTCTCCTCTCAGAAGAGCTGTGAATGTGATCTCATCTGGATGCCTCTCATCCTTTTCTCCCATTCTTATTCCACTTTGGATTGAACTGGCAAGACCCCGATACTGAAGAAAAAAAATTGATAACTTTTGTGGAATTACTACATATTTTTTATATGGTCATAAAAATTATAGATATTTTTATTATCATGATGCTATGGAGGGTTGGCCTCCTTCAAATAACCTTTGAAAAGCTGGATATCTACTTTCCTTTTTGTTGAATTCTAGCAAGTCAGGGATATTTGGCTAAAAGCCACAGAAAACAATTTTGGCAGACTTAAAGCTAGAGAGTTGCTTATAGAGCCCAAGACAAATGTGAAAGGTATTTTATTGTTCTCATTTTCTGAATTAGGTTGGAGCAAAAATTGGATCCCAATAAAATAAACAAAAATAAATAAATAAAATAGAATTCCTTTCTGGGATTACACTCTATCCTCTCCTGAAAATGGAGATCTTAACTGTTTTACTAACTATGTGTGGGACTGTTGCTAGCTGACATGGAATATCAATGCTCTTGACAGTTACACAACCCTGTTAAGTGCAGTAGAACTAAGAGTGACAAACATCAATTTCACACTCAGCTCTGCAGAGAAGCAAGTAAATGTTTATTGGTATGATACTTAAGAGATATTTTATACTTTAAAACTACAATTTGGAATTTTCATGTGGAGTAATTATGAAGAATCTATGTTAATTTATACAGCATTACAGATAACTATGCTGTAGGTTGAAAATTGGACTTTTCTTCCCTTCCAACTGTATCATTGTCTGTTTGAATGCTCTCATATATAAAGCTGTTTGCAGTGACTTTAACCTCTTTAAAATGATTTCTGCTAACTCCCTTTCTTCATTTGCTAAACCAATCATCCATAGCTTTATTTATTGAATGTCTTCTACATTCTATATGCCTGGCAACCTGCTAGTGCTGCATGTATAAAAATGAATAAGTCATGATACCTGACCACAATGAACTCAAAATTTAATAATGTAAAGAAACAGAAAAATAATATCTGTTAACATCTCAAGGATAAGGGCCCTTGTCTTATTTATCCTTCTCTACCCAAACCACAGAAATGCTCTGTATCCCATTAGTTATTCAATAAAAACACTTCATGAAAAATAAAATTGAAATACAGTGTCATGAGTATTGAAACAGAGGTACATACTCAGCATTACTGGAGCACTGAAGAGGAACCAATGAATTGCCTGAGGGTTTCAGGATGGTTTTCTCATTTGAGTTGAGAGATGAGTAGAAGTGTAAAAACATAATGCTAGACCTGGGAAAATAATGAAACACTGGGCTTAGGGCACAGATGTGTCCTAATTGCTAGATCAAATGACAACCCAGGTCACAAATTTTGACACTGTGCCAGAATTGTATTGTCTGTCAGATAGCATGAGATTGGTAAGGCAATTCATAACTAAACATTTTCTCTAGATGAATGAATGGACTCTGATACTTATCGACTAATTAGATTTTTGATGTCATGTGGACATTGAGAGACAACTGAGTGAGCAAGCTCAGACTATAACACTGCAATTGTTATTTTATAGTGGTTTGAGCAGAAAACTAATGAACAACTCCTTTCCTTGTGGTTTGTCATTTTATAAAGTTTGTATTTGAAAATATAATATTCTTATCTGGAATTTAGTACACATAAAACCTTAATAAAAACATGTTAACCTACAATGTGTCAGCACCTTTGTTGAAAAAAATTTCTGAAAGTTAAGGAAAATACATGATGACGCTGTAAATTAAGCACCATAAATATGATATATGGTTTGGGGTCACAAATATTTTGGGAATAAATGGGAGTTTTTTTTTTTTAATCTAAGTCACATATTCTAAATCTCGGGTGAAAATCTGTCTCAATAACATAAACTGTAATTGAAACACATCTGTGTGTTTAACAAAATCTGTAAAGTAGCTGATTTTCAGCTGTTTTATTTTACCAGCTCTAGTTGCAGCACAGTGGTTAAGAGCTCAGCTGCTAACCAAAAAGGTCAGCAATTCGAATCCACCAGCTGCTCCTTGGAAACCCATAACGCAGTTCTACTCTATCCTATAGGGTTGCTTTTAGTCAAAATCTACTTGACGGCACTGGGTTAGTTGGCATAAAGAGACTATAAAAAATAAGAAAACACTGATTTTCTATAAAGAAAATGTCAGAGTGAAGAGAAAAATGGGGAAATTAAAATCTGACCAATTCATGTCTACCAAACCCCAAAACCAAACATGTTGTTATTGAGTTGATTCCGATTTATAATGACCTTACAGGACAGAGTAGAACTGCCCTATAGGGTACCCAAGGAGCAACTGGTGGATTCAAACTGCCAACCTTTTGGTTAGCAGCCAAGTTCTTAACTACTGTACCACCAGGGTTCTGGTTCATACCTACAATGCCTTAAAATAATAGTGGTGTCAAACTGAGCCCAGTATAGCTAGATGGTGCCCAGCTACCACCACTGACTGCTCTGACCAGGATCACAACAGAGGGTTCTGAACAGAGCTGGAGAAGGATGTAGAACAAAATTCTAACACACACACATAAAGACCAGATTTACTGGCCTGAAAGAGATTGGAGAAACCTCGAGAGTATGTCCCCCAGACACCCTTTAAGCTCAGTGGTGAAGTCACTTCCAAGGTTCACCATTCAGCCAGGGATTGGACAGCCCCATAAAACAAAATGGGACTAATGAGGCACAGCAGTCCAGAGACAAGGACTAGAAAGCAGAAGGGGACAGGAAAGCTAGTGATAGGGAACCCAAGATTGAGTAAGGACAGTGTAGACATGTAGTGGGGTTGTTAACCATTGTCATAGGGCAACGTGTACTGTTTAATGAGAAACTATTTTGTTCTGTAAACCTTCATCTAAAGTGAGAATAGCAGCACAACTGGAAGAATGTAACTGATGTTACTGAATTGTGCATGTAGAAATTTTTGAAATGGTATATCTTTGGCTATGTATATTTTCACCAAAAAAAAAAAAAAAGGTTGAGAAGGGAGAAAGTTGAC